TGTAAAATACCGTCGGTGCGTATACGCACCGATGCCAGAAAAAATATTAAAAACTCACATCGAGGCTTGGCGAATAAGATTGTCCGCTTTTAAAGACTATTTGAGATGAGTATGACTTTAAGAAAAGATGTTGAACGTATATTTGAAGAAGCTGAACTTTTTGAAGGAAAAGCATTAAAAATGTCCGGTCTTAAGGTAAAACCTCAAGTAGGTAAGAAATTGTGCTGTAGGCGAATATCATCTTTTTGCATTCTTTACGAGACGCCTTGTGGACAAGTAAGGAGGGACATTACTTATCTTACTTGCTTTTCAAATATCAGGCAGTATTTCGGATTTTCTAGCACTATTTCTTTAATTTCAGCGCCACGTCAAACATTTTCAAACACTTCTGAGTTCGTTTCGAAGTGGCGATTTCTTCTTTCATTGTAAAGTCGTGGTACAATTTACAATTTTCAGAACAATTTAATCGGTTCTAAATGATCAAAAAGGAAGGGAGACTCAAAAAGCATCAAAACTTCGCGCAGTTTTTCAAAAGTTCTTAAAAGAAAAACGTATCTACAATGGGAATCTACGGGAATTACATCCAACGACGAGTTAATAATATAAAAAGATATCTGAAATCAAAGAAATCTGTGTTTCTGCACTATAACTTCAAGTCCTTCTTTTTTAAAAAGTTAGCTACCGTGCAGAAACCCCGATTTCTTCAGCAAAAGACATGAAGTTCCTGCGCAGTAATAACGATTTCTTCCGGAAAAACTAGCAAGCTTCTGTGCACAGACACCAAGTTTATCAGGAAAAAACGTCAAGTTATTGCGCAGAAATATCGATTTCTTCCGGAAACAACATGTAATTCTTCTGCAAAGACACCGAAAACTTGAAGTTATTCTGCGAAAACCCGCTTTCCCCAGCAAAAAAATGAAACCATTGTGCGCAGACACCGGTTTCAGGAAAAGACTTGAAGTTCTTTTGCACAAACACCGGTTCCTTGAGGAAAAGACTTGAGCTTCTTGTGCAGGAACACCGATTTCTTCGGGGAAACACTCGAAGTTCTTGAGCGGAGACACCGAGGTCTGCAGGAAAATAAATGAAGTCCTTGTTCATAGTCACCGATGTCTCCAGGACAAAACGTGAAGTTCGTGTGCGAGTACACCGAGTGCTTCAGGAGAAAACGTTAACTTCTTGTGCAGAGGCACCGGTTTATTCCGGGAAATAAAAGTAGTTCTTGTGCAGAGACACGGATTTGTCCCGGAAAAAACATGAAGTTATTGTGCAGAAAGCCTTCGTTCCCCAGGAGAAAAAGTGAATTTCCTGTGCAGAGGCACCGGTTCATTGAGGAAAAGGCTTGACGTTCTTGTGCAGAGACACGGACTTGTTCCGGAAGAAACAAGAAGTTCTTGAGCACAAATCCCGGTTACTTCAGGAAAAGACTGAAAGTTTTTGTGCAGAGACCCCGGTTTCTCCGGTAAAAACATGAAGTTGTTGTGCAGAAACCCCGCTTTGTTCAGGGAATAACATGAAGTTCTTGCGCACAGACACCGATCTGTTCAGGAAAACACAATCAGTCATTGTGCATGGACACCGGTTTCTTCAGGAACAAACAGGTGGTTGTTGTACAGACACACCAAGTACTGCAGGAAAAGAATTGAAATTGGTGTGCAGAAACACTCATTTTTTCAGGGAAAAACATGTAATTCTTGTGCAGGTACAGCGGTTTATTCACGAAAAAACATCAATGTATTATGCATAGACACCGGTTTTGGCGGCAAAAACATGAAGTTTTTGAGAGGACACACCGTTTACTTTTCCGAAAAAGCACGTAATTGTTGAGCAGAAACCCCGCTTTCTTCAGGAAAATATGGGAAATTCTTGTGCAGAAACCCTCGAGTTCTTCAGGGAAAAACATGAGGTTCTTGCGCATAAACCAAATGTTGTCGCATTTTTGCATTTACAAAAAAATTAACGAAGATTAGACTGCGATGGTGGTCTCAAACTAAAAACTGTTGCTCGTCAGATCAAAGTCGCCCGTCCAGCTATTACCACATTAGTTCACTGTCTTTCATGTCGAGTGCGTAATTTTTGACAAAAAAAAGGTAAATTTTCTGTTGTAAAAAATTAATAAATATTTGCCATGAGCATAAATTGAGAAAAATTAAATTTTTCTGCTTTTCTCTTCTCTTTTTCTCTTTATATCAGGATATATCAGTTTAGAGGTCAATCATAGGTGAAAGAAGAACAAAAAATAAATTGTATGTAAAATCTTCATCATTGTCATTTATTTCAACCAAAAAAAAGAGAACGTTAATCATCATCGATTGTTAATAGTACACGATTTTTGAGCTTTTTAATCATCTTATGTAAGTTTTTCTTAATTTTTGGGTTGACTATCAAATTTCTCTTTCCATATAACAAACATTGTTTTTTAATATAGCAACAAACCACAACAAACATACATATTAGGGAAATATTCGTTCACATTACATTCATTCATACTCACAAAAGAGTCAAAACAATATAAACAGTATCATTCTCATCAGCTATTACTATCTTCACAGAAATCACAAGACCAGTACCCAATATCTCTCAGAAAAACGTTCTCTAGTTTCTTCTAACGGTGTAAGCCAAGGTAATCCAATTTTTGTTCTCTTTTTACTCTTAATTTTACATTTCTTTATCGAGAAATGTTTAACTATTAGGAACAAAACTTATCAATATACTTTTTAAATATTTCCAGATTCAAGACAATTACCCACTGTACCATCATCGAATCCGATGATACCAGTGGAGGATCTAGCACCACGCTAATAGAATTCTAACGCTTGAAGCATTAGAATTCATACTAGGTCGGACGACGTTAACCAGTCTCTCGTATCCATTTCCTTTAAAGTAAACGAACATAAAGTGGCCAAATAACAAAATTATTTATGCTGACATTTATTCAAATTCTTTCACACAAAAAAACATTAAAACATCTTAAAAAAAAATGTTTTTAACGAGTCGAATGAAAATATCTATCGTTAACTGCGTCGCAGCTAACAAGCATACGAAAAGACCCGTTAACAAAATTACCAAGAGTCTTCGACGTCGATATCGGAAAACGATTGTACATACAATCACTAGTCCAATGATAAATGACGCCATTAACAAGTGCGTCACCAAACGTAGATCGGACGTAGATGTTCCGGACGTTGGCATTGACCTTGCATAACCGCTTTTAAAATCTATCGTTGCTGAAGGCGTTCTCAGAACATGTCCGATGGTCCTAAAAATCTATTTCGTACGTAACTCGACATGCTCTACAATCTGGAAAGATCAGAAATTATTTTCGAGAAAAAAAATTTTGCTTTCGGAAAACTGGGCCTCCAAAGACCTAAGGGCACCTCCAACTATTATATTCAGGATCAGCACTATCTATTACCTATAGTCGTATGGTTTTCATTGAAAAAGCGATTTATCAGCTGGAAACCTTCCCTCGTCAGTAGTCAGGAAGGATAGCTGAATATACGCTGAAAGTTTCACCGAGTTTGAAGAACATTTTATATATAGCGGGAAGTTTCCCATAGAATCGCTCTTGTATACACTATTTTGTGTTTCTCTTCCACCTTCTTTTTCTTTTTTACAGTTGACGTATGCAATAACAACTTGGAATCAATAACTCTTCTAATAAGGTAAATACTTACCTGTCTACTATTCCGGACGTTGGCATTGACCTTGCATAACCGCTGACGCCATGTGTTCGAAAATATGGTATGACATTCAGATTAGCAGCCAGTAAAGCTAATGAATCGCATGGAGTTACAAAAGAAAATTTTTTTCCCAATATCATATTACGATCCTAATGAAAAATTAAAATAAATTTTCAGAAAAGTGTGTACGAAAAGTTACTTACGTCATCTCCGTCAAATGCCGCTCCAAAATCATAATCACCATGTTGTATATCTTCAACTAATTCGGGGGCGTATGTCAAGTTTGGATCGGGATGAGAACTACCAAAATCTTCTAACGGTTTGCAATTTTTCACTGTGCTACTGTTTTTTTGCTCATAGTTCTTGATGAAATATTCTCGTTACATACGGTCCCATGACTCCATTAACAGCATTAATTATGATTTTAAAATGTTGTTTTTCATCATTGAGTAAACTTTTGAGAATATCAAAATCAAATATGGATTTCATCAACTCGACATAATCATTAACGCTATCAATAATTTCAATTTCAAACGGTTGAGATCGACCATCGATTTGAAACTGCTGTTTGTGAAGTTGAGATATGTTCATGTCAATAGTAGAGCAAGTTTCATTATTAAATGAAACATATTGTCATCCAATAAGCTGATTTCATACACCCTACTCAACTTCGAAGTTGAATAGCTACAATAACTAGTCCAATGATAAATGACGCCATTAACAAGTGCGTCACAAAACGTAGATCGCGATCTTCCACGTTGTAATCTATTGTATGAGCCGGACTCATGTTCGATAATATCTCCCACAATCCTTCGTTTCGTTCGTCACGTGCTTCTTCAGGTAAGTATACGTGACCATTTGCTGCACCACATAGGACAATACAAGTGAACATTCGTAAATAGAATACTGGAAACAACTGTGAATTGAAAAAGTCGTTTTTATCACCAGACTCAATACTCCACGATCGACGCGTAAATCCATCAAATAAATAGCCACCAATTTTTTTCTTGTATAACAGCAACATCAGTTTTCGTACCTAAAATACATTTTTAAAAAAGAAAAGGTGACAACGAATTAAGTGCTGCAGGATGATCGCGTTGTAGTATTTTTTTAGAAAAGCGTGTTACATTCTTTTAAATATAACAAATAAAGTAAATATAACTGTCCCTGTCTCATTCCCATCATGAAAGGATAAAACTTTCAGAATATACTCAGTTTTGGATTCTGCTTACAATGATTTTCTCCAAAACTATATATTTCATTGTGGAACAGAGATCTCTTAATCTCTGCAGACCGGATTTACAGATACTCTCTCAAAGAAACTCGTTTTACGAGTACAGAAGTCAAATGTGTTATCGTTAGGCATACCAAAAGCTAAGTTTAAAGACTGTAATGTAAGCATTTACGAGGAGCCCTCCCGAAGTGATCAACTACGTTTCCAATGATTTATATGTCGATCGACAGAGGAAAGTGTGCTATTAAAAACTAACAGAATTTGTCCCCATGGTGTCTTGTTCAGAAAGTAAACAACGTTTTGTATCTTTCCTAGGGAAACATGAAAAAAATTAAAAATTTTATGACACGCTACTATTTGTGAAGTTGACTTAACTCGGTTAGTTTTGAGCCACATCTCATTTCATAGAGAAGATAAAGTGTTGTAAAACCACTCTCCAATGTTCCGGCATTTACAACATACTCTGCCGCTGCGAAATACGAGAAAGCATGCGGAGACCACTTTCATTTTTGCAGTAAAAGAAACTTTTTGGGGTTTAAAAGTTTTAGAAACACCCGAATTGAAAAGGGTTTCGGATTGCACCTATGCTATTTATTTTCCCGGGAAAATCGAATTTCCAAAAGACTTGGTGGATATTGAACAAAACCGCTCAAAATTGACTAAAAGTCAGTTTCTTTCAGACACTAGGAGAAATTTCGAAAAAGCGAATTATACTTTTATTTTATGGATCGTAGCCATTCGAATGACATAAGACACTTGGCTTGATCTCTTCATCCAAAAAGCTAAATAAATCTACTCTTACAAAGTGACGCAAAAGTACTTTCGGTT